GGTCTACAGGGATGGGGCCTCTAGGTCAAGATGGGCCTCAGAGCAGGTGTCCCCAAGGACTGTAGCCCAGTAGAAGGTGAAGGTCAAGGAGCAGTCAGCCAGGTGAAGAGGGATGGAGTGGGGGTTGGGAGGATGTCCCAGGGAAAGGGAACCGATAAGGGAGGGCAGGGGCTGTGGATGGGTACAGTGGTCTGGGGCACAGCAAATGGCAGGGCTGAACCCCAAAGGCCTTTGTGAGCTAAGCTCAGAAGTTGGGGCTTTGCTAGGAGGGTACTGGGGGCGGTGGAGGAATGGGGAATGTCATGCCCACCGGGGTCTCAGGTGGAGCTTGAGTTAGGAGCCAGAGTGGAGGCTGCTGTGGACATTCAAACGAGGAGAGGGGATGGCCTTGTCCAAGGAGAGGGTACATCAGGGCCTGGTGCATGACAAGGTTGGCAGGTAGGCCCCAGATTTATGGCCTGAGTGACCCAGGCCCTGGAGCCCCACTCCTGAGAAGGGAGCCCTGAGAAGGGGCAAGTTCACAGGGAGTTCACTTTGGGATGTGAAGCTGAGGGGGCTGATGGAGCGGTCAGGAGAGGGGGTCTTGGCTGGGGATAGAGACTTGGGGTCAGGGTGGAGACAGAAGCAAGGAGCCCGACAGTCAAGGGGCATCACGGGGAGAAAAGACGGAGGGTGGGTAGCAGGCGTGGACCTAGCCAAGAGGAGTTTCCTCCCTGAGCCTTCCTGGCCCCCTGCTGCCCCTGCTTGCTGTCCCCAACCTGCCTTCACTCCGTGCAGCTTCAGGTAGAAGCAGTCGAGGGGCTTGAGACCTTCGGGCGTCTTCACGTACTTGGGCTCGCCCAGCATGCCGATGTACACCGTCACCTGGAAGTGGTTCTTCTTCTGGCACACGAACGCGTCGTCACCCACCGAGAAGTTGAAGCCTTTGTCGGCGTCCACGCGGTAGGTGAGCATGGGCCTGGAGGCAGAGGAGGCCCCAAAGCCGGGCCTGGAATGTCGGCTTCCCAATGTCTGCGTACAAGTTTCCTACCCCAAACCCCCGATCATGGGGCTGCCCCCACTTCTCAGAAATGGAAACTGAGTCCCCGAAGGTTTGGGGCTCAGGTATGCCACCTCCTCAGTCACTATTCTTCCCTCCACATGCCTGGGACCAGCCACCCTGCCCTGGGGATGGGGGAAACAGAGCAGGAGATCCGAGGCCCACCACATGGGAGAGAACTCCTGAGGGGGGGCTTTGATGGCCCCTCACCACACTTGACTCCTTTCCAGAACACTTCCTGAAGCCCCCGCCCTCATGGGAGATGGGGTTAGAGGGGATGGTCTGCAGAGCCTCACTGCGCCTGACAGCTGGTTGCCATGGAAACGGTGGAACCAGGCGCCAGCACCGAGCTGGCCCTGCCCACAGGCTCCCTCAAACCCCCCAAAATCCTCATTCTGACTCCTGTATGCCCTCGGTGGGGACAGGAGCGCTCTGGGCAGCTGTACTCAGCCTCAGTTTGCCCATCAACAGCACTTTGGGGGACCTCCAGGTAGCCCACCCTCACCCAGGTTCCCAGGCACAAGCCGTGCTCCCAGTGCCCAGTGCCCAGTGCCTGCCTGGAGGAAGCTGCGCAGGGACCAAGTTTCCAAACTGTGGGAAAAGGACTTTGGGCCTCGCTAATGTCTACAGGAAGGCCCAGGGCTTACTACTTCTCCCTCTCGGGGCACCACCCACCTGCCTGCGCCACAGAAACACCCAGGAAGTGCCTGGGCCACACTGGGGGCCTCAGCCGCCAGCTTCTTGTCCTTGAGGCCTGGGGTGGCAGGGCTGGCCCAAGAAGTAGGAGTGCGGGTTCCTCACCAGGCCATAGGGGTTGGACCCCCAAAGACCTCCCCTCAACCCTGGCAGGGCCTCAAGGGACCCTTCAGCCACCGGAGCAGCTGGACACCCCTAGCCTTGAGGGCTTCTGGCTAAGAGTCCCACAAAGCCCAGGTGCCCGACTCCAGGAGGCTGGTCTTGGCTGTGAGAGGGCCCAAGTACAGCCACCCTGCCCAGGCCTGGCAATGTCCAAGGTGAGTTGAGGGGAGCCACACTCTCAGCTCCAACTGGCCTTCCGCAGGAGCCAGGGGAGTGGTCCCATAGTGCTCCTGGCCAGGCCGGGAAACTGAATCCAGGTGGGCAGTGAGGAAGGGCTAGGAATGCCAGGCAGCCTCCGACCCAGTCCTCCCCACCCCGCCCTCTCCTCCAGGGAGGGTCTGCTGGAAGGGCCTTGCTAACACTCAGCTTCCTGCTACCTTCCTGGAATGCAGGAGGAGGTGGAGGAGGCCAGGGGTGGGGGGGGAGGAGCCAGAAAACACCGACTCCCCCGTGGGCCCCTCCCTGGCAGACACCACCTTCTTAAGCAGGCCTCAAGCTGGCCCAGGATCAGGAACCCTGAGCACCAGTCCTAGCTCTGTCCTGAGCCCTCTACTCCTCTCTAAAATGGGCCATTTGGTACCCAGTGTGCTCTCAGGCCCTGCCCTAGGACCACGATGCCAGGGCTGAGGGCCCAGCTGGGGTGGCCAGGAGGGTGGGGAGCAGCACAGGTCACTCACAGCTCCTTGTAGTTTGCATCGTACAGTGTCGCCCACTTGTTCTGCTGATGCGGTTGCCACTTGATGGACTGGTAGTTGGGGTCCAGGTAGGAGCCACTGAGGCTGTCATTGTCCTGCAGGAGTCCTGCAGGGTGGGAATGTCTATGTGGGCCCTGGGCTCCCCTCCCCAACTTGAAGGGTCCGCCCCCTGCAGGGTCCAGCAGGCCAGCTATGTACCTGGTGAGGGTGCACCTGGCGGGTGCCAAGGCGGTGTCTGGACCCGGGCGATGCTGAGGGGCAAGGAGCCAGGGCCTGGTGAGAGTGGGCCCTGGGGAGGCCAGGGTGGAGAAGGGGCTCGAGGGGGGTGTGTAGGCAGGGCTGTCACGGTCCCAGGCTCCTGTTTGATCATTCCATTCAGCATCTGGGCATTGAGGGTGTTGGGGGGCGATTCGGAGTGTTTCCTCTTCTTAGAGGGGTGTGTGGGGAGCCTGGAAAGTCAGAGATGTGCGCCATGGGGGGCTGGCTCCCTTTGAGCCCCCTTCCCCTGGGCAGTACCCACCCTCCCCTCTCCACCCTGCTGCTGGAGGATATACCCAGCCTGGAGAACACCTCCTCCAGGAAGCCCATGTGCTTTGCCTCCTCAGAGCTCCCCCATCACTCTGTGTTGTCATTCCCTGTTTCTGTCACTCTGCCCTACCCCCAAACTGTGGAATCCAGGAGGGCAGGAGCCACACCTGACTTGTCTGTGTGTCCCCATCACACCTGACAAGGGGCCTGGCACACAGAGTGCTCAGAACTGTTGGCGGAGTGAAGAAGTCCGTCCCTTCCCTGTGCTACCACTCTCAGTGTCACCCTTTATAGTGAAGGCTCTCTGGAGAGCAGCCTCCGAGGTTAGAAACGACCCACAGAGGGTCTGGGGGCTGAAGATTTGGGGGGCCTGCAAAGCACCCCTTTTCTTCTGGTTGACAAAAAGTTTTGGCAGTGGAATGTTTCCTTGAACTACATCTTTCATGAAATCTCAGTGTGTAGAACATAAAAAGACAATTCTGTAGGTTGGGGTCAAACCGGGGACCTTGGATCTACACCTGGTACCTCCTCAAAAACTGAGGATGCCATGAAATGGCTGGAAAGTCGCTGGTGTTGGGGTAACAGCACAGCCAGGTTCAAATCTTAATACTGGCCTTCCTGGCTCCATGACCTGGGCAAGCATTTCCCCTTCTTGGAGCCCCAGGTTACCCATGTGGGCCACAGGGGTGGCCATGTCCGCCAAGCAAGGGAGTTGTAAGCACTTGGCCATGGCTGGAAATACCTGCTGCCCTGCTGGGCACATGAGGACATATGCTGACCCCATATCCTGGGGTCAGAGCCTCTTGCCCTTCCTGGGTTCATCCCTGTCCCCACCTCCACCTGTCCTGCCTGCCGGTCCCTGACCCCCCACCTCATCTTCCCACCCTGGGGCGCTGCCCAGCCTTACTCAGCTCCATGTTGCTGCAGCAGCTGGTGCAGCATCTGGGACTGCTGGGTGTGGTGCAGGTCGGCGGGCACCAGCCCCTGCCCCATGGCAGTGTAGGGGGGCATCGGGGGCTCTGCTTTCATGTACAGGTCCCGCTGTAGGACGGGGTAGTGAGGTGGGGGTGGCG